AGCAGGAAACCCTCACTGGGGGGGGATAAGCAAACAAAACTAAACATGGTAATTTATTCACTCCATGAAAAAATATTAGTTAATCCAAGCCAATGAGATTGTAAAGCCTGATAACTGGTCTGGCTGGTGCCGACATCTATCGCTAGCAGTAGGCATGGTTTTTGTCTACACTGTTGCCCCTAGGCAGTGAGATGCAGCAGCAGTATGACAGCTCCCAGCCACACATGATAATTTAAGAGAGAAAAAAAAAATCTTATTCTGACTCCGAACCAGGGCAGAACAGTTTAAAAAAAAAATCAAGACAACTTGCAAAAATTGATTTAGATAGCAGTGACACTCTGCAGAACTTATTTGCAAGTCTGTGCTGTGCAATTTGAGATAAAAACTGTTTAATGAAATGAAGGATGAGCACCACTTGTTTGCTTTGGCCTGTTGGTATTCCTGCGCAGCAGTGGTGTTACAAAGCAAACACACTGAAAGCTGAGCGATCCCCCTCTAAATGTGTACTTTTCACCAGTGTTTGGTCCCAGTGACTGCTGCCCTTTCATTCGCAGCCAAGCATAAGTGCTTGGGTTGTGGCTTCAGGGGCTAAAAACTATCAATTTTTAAAATTATGTAAGCCATGTAAAGCTGTCACTTTGAATCACAGCTTATCTGGGAGGTGATATTTAGGTTTGCAGTATTCAAAATAGCTATTGTGAGGTTTTGCATTCCTTTGTTCAGCATTTTCAAGAACAGAAATGTCTCTCTGGACTCCCATATCCACTTTCAAGTGCACAGAGGCTTGTTCCCTCCCGCTCCCCAAGCTCCGAAGAGATGGGGTGCACCAGTCCCATGACACTCAACTACAGCCCTGGAGGAGAACGGGCCCCACTTGGAGCTCACCCTGCAGGAAGGCAGCGCTGGTTTCAAACGTACTGCGCCACTTACTTCTCCTGCTTGTTTTTCAATTGCATTGCAAGGATGTTAATGAGTGTCTGAGCCACGGCAGGCAAGCCCAGGGCATTTCAGACGTGGAAGAACTTCACAGAGAAATAATCTGCATAAAGTCTGAGACGCCATTATTAAGGAGAAAAAGAAAATGCAAGCAGAAACCATCCTCCCTCGGCAGCCAAGAGTGGCAAGAGGAGAATGGTTCTACAGAGAGAAATGTATTCATTTGATCCATTATTTATATAAAGTGCTCTTTGTAAACCTGATTTCCCAGCACCCTGGATGACAGCAGGGGGAAGACAGGAAAAGAAGAGGTCCAACTTCATACCTCCAAGGGAAAGACAGCCCATCTGAGGGCCCTGCATCATGCCAGGATCCCTGAAAGGGAACAAGCCGCAGTGGCACAGGAGGCCCGTGCTGGCCCTGCAGGCGGGCAGCGCCTCACCAAGCACCCCCGGCACTTAAGGGTAAGAGATGTGGGGTTCTGAGCAGATGTTTCCTTCCTTTTGAAGGTGGGTGCACCACCAAGTCCTCGCTGTCCCAATGAAAGTGCTTAAGCCACTGAGCAAAACCATTAAAAATAAAAGCATTTAATATGGGGTTTTCACATGAACACACAGAAAGGCAGCAGTCTGAAACAGTACATACATAGCATATATAAATAAGGACAAAGATTAGAAATACTTTGGAAATGACAAGACTCTGGGAACAGTTAGTGGCTGCTCTGGGAGGAAGCATCCTTGTGAGTCATTGTGCAGGGCAGACAAATGAGACACATCCAAGCATGACTAAAACTCCCCCTCGCCTGTGAGACAGTGTGAACGCATTGGGACTGCAACAGCCAAGGGACCTAGAGGACGAACCCATTAGCCATCACCATCCTCTGCATAGGGAGGACAGCCCAGGGCACCAAACCCCCTCCTGGTACTGCTCTGTCTGGAGACTGCACCCACTCCTTTGGCAGGGAAGGCTTCTGAGACATGCAGAATGCTGGGCTAATGCCCCATAGATAATTTTTCTCAGAGCTAAGCAAATCTGAGCTGTGCCAGAAGCCAGAGTCCCTGAGCGAGAGCCATCAGTAAGAGAAGTTACTTTCATCTATACAGAAGCAGCGTATTTAGTCTTAGGAACAAGATTGCCCTGCCAAGCCAACACCTATACAGAGATATCTGCCCAAGTAAGCTAGGGGCAATGGAGAGAGGGATGGGATGAACAAATGCTTCACCCAGCAACTGCCCCGATACAGGCAAGAGCAGAGGTAGCAGGACCAGATTCAGCTCTCCCTGTGCTGCCGCCTGACCTTCGGCTCTGCCTCATCCCTGCTCAGAGGCAAAGTCGAGATCCCCAGGTCTCTGCTAACAGCAGACTGCAGGGGCAGGGTAGAAGTGCAGTCAGCAAAACATGCCATGCCCTTAGAGAAGAGCACATAGACAGCTTCAGCCTCTGGAGGGAATGATTACAGACACATCCAAAAAGCACATACTACTACCGCAGCAAACAGCCTCTGTGCTTCCTCACAGCATCCTCGCCTGCCCAGTCCCTGAAGAACCAGAGCTCTTTTTTTGCTGCAACAGAGGCTCCTAACACCAGCAACTCTCAACTCACACATCTACAGTCCCACTACCCCCTACATTTTCAAAGCAGTTCCTCCAGTTTGGGGTCAGACTGGGGACAGGCACACCCAATAAAGTATCAGGAACATCCCTTTGGACAAAGCAGCATGAGGCACATAGCTTTGTATCTAAAAAAAAAAAAGTCACAGTTAAAAAAAGTGACAAATTCCAGCTAAGCTGCACAGGGCTCAGAAGCTCTTTTGACAGCTCTAGCCAGTCGGACTGAACTCCCTGCTCACATACCAATATTCACACCTCCTGCCACCAGTTGTCTCAGAAAGCTGTCAAGGACAGAGCTCTAACTCCTGCCAGCTGCTGGTTCTTAAAGATTAGAAGACAATTATAATTGGATTCCAGAGATTATTTGCTTCACTGAGAAGGACTGAGAAGTGTTTAGATGGTTCCCCAGCTGATTAAATCTTTATTTCACAGTAGTGACCCTGTGTGTTTCCTACCCCAGAGTGCTTGCAGACAGGTACTTGGCAAGATTGGCTTACAGGAGCATTTTAGCTTAACAAGACAGCTGACACTGGCCAGCTGTGATGGGGGTTTACCCCACATCTAGATGGTTTCATCTCATTTCTGCAGCTCAGGCCTAACAGCTGAACCCAGCTCCAGCCCTTTCCCCCAGTTTAATGACTAATCACCCAGTTGCCTGACCAGGCATCCAGATATCTTTAACCAAAGTCACAGAAATGTGAAGACAGTGAGCAAGGGCTGCCCTCCAGCTCAAGCTGAAACAGAGGGATGAATTTATTGGGGAAGCTGCTTTCCCCTGGCCCCACTTGAAATGATAGCACCCAGAACCTCTCCTTTTCTCCCAGGCCCATCCTGTGCTCTGTACCATTTGTGCACTCCAGCCCTTTTTGGGGAGAGCAGGGCAAAACGGAGCCCAGAGGAAGCAGAAGACGGCATGGCTCCAGAGGAGGCCTGGGCATAAGGTTAGCTGTCAGGATACAAGTGAAGGCTGGAGTCTATCATTCTCACTGCTCACAGAGGTGAGGGAGCAAAAAGAAGCCCATGTGTTAAAAACTGAGAGCACAAAAGCAAAAAATACAGCCTAGCAACGTTGCACAGAAAGCTGAGAGTGCGCACAGGGCCCTGCAATGCACAGGGCTCTCCTTGTAAGCAAGCACTCCAGCTCTTCCCAGAGCCAGCAGGTCAGACATGCCACACAAGTTTTGGTTAGATAGTGGTTTGCCCCATAGTAGAATGAAATATAATTTATATACAGAAAGAAACAAGTCCCTGCAGTCTTTGCAAAGGTCCAGTTTCAAGAGCGCTGCCGTGTTGGTGAGGGTTGCCGTGAGCCTGCAGCACTCCCCTCCCTTTTGGTGCAGCACAATATTCACAGCTTGCGAGGCTGGGCATTCCCCACCCATGCGTTGGTGCGAGGCAGTTCAGAGGGATGATGAATCCTTGGAAAGCAGGTGGGCTCGCATGCGTCTACAGGATTCCTGGAGCAGAGAATTAGAGCAATTGAACGCTTGAGACACAGAACACCAAGCAAAGAAAAGGTTGATGTGCTCTCCTCCTCCTGCAAGGACTGTCCCCTGGAGCCTGCCTCCCACACCTCTTACCAAAGCAGAGCGCTGGACAAGAGGCAGCGAGCGGATGGGGACAAAGAGCAGTCGGTCTCGGGCTGCTACAAGCCAGGGGACTGCAGCCATCACAAAGCCCTAGACAGAGCCTTGCGTGTGTGACCTCAGCTCTGCAGGTCTCAGCAGAGCCCAGCAGGCCAGGTTTCCCACCTGGGAAGGAGAATGAGGGAGTGTGCCTGTGTGTGTGTCTCACCTCTTTCCGGCCCTCCAAAGATTTCAACTTCACTTGGGACACGTGAGCTGGAGATCCACATTTCTGTAACTGGACAAGAGAGGGGAAGAGGAGTAGAGAGCTGGGGAATGAAGTGGTATCCACAGCCTTCCCTGGGAACAGCTGGTACCACCAGACAGCAACTACCACCCAAACCCACTCTTGGTTTGTCTGGGCCATGGGACAGCCCTACCACCCACAGGGAGCAGGCTCTGAACAACTCGTGGAGGAGGATGGGAGAGAGGAAAGGGGGCACAAACCAATGACCCAGGGCATGAACACAGCTAGAGGGACAAGACTGGAGTGGAGGCCCAATACTGCCACCCCTGTCCCATTGCTGCCCTTGCCATCTGCTCTGCTCTCCTCACAGCAGCTTCCTAAGATCTTATTTGATCATACAGAAGAAACTTGGAAACCTTCTCTTGGGCAGAGAACAGCAAGCAGCCCCCCAAGGATCGCTAAAATGAGTGCCCAAGTTGCACTCAAACTCCCCTCACACACTCCACCCCCCCCCACAGGCAGCTTCAACAGTGCTGGGAGCAGCTCTTACCAGGTGGACATTCTCTTTGCTGACTCGCTCAGGCTCTGGCGTGTCATCCCTGCTCTTCCTCTCCAGGATAACTGGGGTTCCCAAAACTTTTCGCTGCCGTAAGAAGAGAGGGCTGTTGGCTAGTGCTTAGAGTGCAAAGTGAAAAAGAAAGGGAAGGAGCAGGATGCATTTCTGGTAAGCAGTTGGATGCTGGGAAAGAAAAAAGGAAGCCAAGCTGGGACAAAGATTGCAAAGTAGCACTACCTGAAATACCACGCCACTAGGCTGAGCCTGCCTGATTGTAAAGGCTTTGGGAGCTGACCTGAGGCCTGGCCAGGAGCCCAGCCTGTCAGAAGCAGGTACATGCTGCTGTACGGCAGCCTACAGTGTGCTAACACCTGTGCTAACAGGCTAGACTACATGACCAGCTCCCTGTCAGTCCTCATCTCATCTCGGGAAGCAACCCATCCTTCAGAAAGATGCATAGATCCTACAGCCACGTGTTCCATAAATAATTACACTTTATACTAACAAAGCTTATTCTCACTCTGCTGCCTTTTCTGTCCCCAGTGGACCTGTGTTCTTTGGAAGTCAATACTTTGAACAGTCCCTACCTTTGAGGGCCTCATTCAAGCCAGGGCAAGGCAGAAGCAGAGAGCAACATCAGAAACTCACAGCAGAGAGCATGGGTCAGAGGCTGCCTTTACCTTAATGAGGCCGCTGAAGGAGCGTGAGCGGGTGCGTCGTGGTGCTGGGGATGTGGGTACATCAGAGCCAGGAGTGAGAGCTGTAGGATGCTTATTAAACTAGGTGGAAACATAAAGGCAGTATGTTAGCACAGTTACTGTTATGGTTACAGCAGTCCCTTGCTGCTGTGTGCTGCTCTACCTGCTGCCCTCTGCCTAGACCTCCATCTGGCTCTTTCACACCCCGAAATGGAGGAGCAGCTCAGAGCTGCAGGGAGAAGAAAGCAGAGGAAGGCCACATCTCACCCAGGATTACAGGGAGCTTGGGTGTGAGGCTGCTTTGTGCTGGCTACCAGGTTAGCCAAATGCAGCAGCTGTTGGAGCAGAAAGGAGTTTGGGCAGCAGCTGGATGCTGGCAGCCAGAACTGGCGCTGACCATATTGACCAGTCTCTCTGGAGCAGCAGGTTGGCTGGGAATGCTCACCAGACCGAGAAAGGAACAGTTTGTCCATTTCCTGCAGGCAAGAGGGGACAGGACTGCCTTTCTGAGGGAGGAAGCTCAACAAGCTTCAGGACTGGGGAACTGCTGTCTGGCAAGTCCCTGGCTTGGAAAATAGAGAGCTTGAAGCATAGCTCCGCTGTCAGCCACATCCAGTATAGGCCTCCTCCTCTCCTGTCTTCTCACAGCTCTGCCCCTTAAACAGCCCAAAGCCCACTCTCCACAGCCTGCCCAGGACCAGGAGCAGCTCTCCAGCAGGCCCTGCCTTCAGTCGTGTGCCCAGGATTGTGCTGACAAGCACACCCCAAAGATATCTTCCCTCCCCACACTACCTGCCGGATGAGCTTCTTCTTCTTTGCGGAGTCAGGCATATTGTGGACATGGCGGAAGAGCTCCTTCAGTGCCTCCTCTGTGCGCTGCTGGGTCTCCTCCTGATGGCAAGTGTCCAGTCGGCTTCGCTTCTGAGACTTGAGGGGCTGCAACTCCTTGGAGCCAGGAGATGTGAGCAAATCCAGGTCGTCCTGGGAAAGTGGAGACAGCAGCTGCTTGCCATGCTTTAATCCAAATGAGCCACCCATCTGAACCAGGCTGGGAAGAGTCTCCTGAGCTGCCTCCACCCCAGTGAACACACAGGGCTGTGTTTTCCCTACCCCTCTGCAGCAGCACTGCACCAGCAGGCCCTGTGCCAGGAAGAGGTGACAGCAATACAAAGGTGACCCCATTGCTTCTTCCCTCCCCTCCCGGATGCCAGCTGCAGAAGCCCTTCCAGGCTTGCAAAGGGTCAGTGCAGCTCCTTACAATGCATCTTCCCTCTTCTGCAGCTACATGAGGCAGGGAAGCATTTCCTGGCAAGGCACAGACAAATCTTGTCCCAGTGGCAGCAAGTAGCCTTTATCGCAGCCCCTCATTCAAGCAGCCTGGACACGGCAGTAGGCACGTCTGTCTGTTTGGAAGGCACAACCTCAGGAAGGAGCAGGTGCTGCATGTACTGGGCACAGGGAGCAAGTTTGCTGCTAAACAGGGGCTGATAGCTTTCCCTGTGCTTTTGATTAACAGATGCTTCAACTCTGCCCAATTTCCCTAATGCAGCCGCCTGCACTACCACACCATATGGTTCCCTCACTCCTGCTCTCTGACAGATCCTCTTTCATGACTTGGTTTGTTTTCAGCTTCTTTCACTCACAAGGATCCCCTCACAGTATCACAGCCTCTGCCCTTTCATGGAGGGCAGGCACTGTATTTGCTGGCCTTACCTTTGATGTGTGGGCTCTGGATCCCAGGTAGTGCAGCCTGGCACACTCCCGGATGTACGCTGGCGCCTGTGATGATGAGCAGAGAAAAGGCCAAACGTAAGTTTAGTATGTTTGGCTCCGGGGCAAGACTGGCCCCAGCAAGAGCTGTTCTTCAACCATATCACACAAGCCACTTCCATCAAGACTCAGCTGTTTAGAGCAGACAAAACAATGGGATTTCATGTCCCCAGTGCAGTCCCTGTTCACAGTTTCCTTCTGATGCACGCAACCAGCACAAGTGGAACACACAGTAAGAGCAGGGTTCCACAGGAACTTTTTCCAAGCACTTCCCCCAGCTCTGAGCTGGTGAAACAGGGGCCTGACAAAGAGGGCAGAAAAGGAACTTTCTATGGGAGGACTCTTTGCAGAGAGCAGATGCCTACAGTGACCAGGAAGGTCTTGAGAAGTCAAGAGAGACTGCCCATTGCAGAAACACTTCCTTGGGGTAACCTGCAGACAGCCCCGCACTCCTGACAGCACCCTGCTCTGAGCTAGACAGAAGCTCAAGACTGCAGGCTGTGCTTTTAACAGCATTGGCTTGACTACCACTTGCAGAGAAGTTCACAACAAAATGATCCACCATATTAGGTATTCAGCTCTTGGCAGTACTCATCCAGGATAAGCTCCTTCAAGTTTTCTTACCCTGCCAGAGCCCAAGGGGAGCCCAGTCACTACCGGCCCCCAGGAAGCAGGTTTCCCAGCCGGGCAGTGGGTGCTGGGTGTCCAGCAGAGGGTGGTATTGCCCTGCACCGTGCTTCTGACCTGCCTGGGCAAATCCACCTCCAGCTGCCTTCCTCCTCCAGGGTGTCTTCCTCCCCCTGTGCTACTTGCTCAGCAAAGACCTCCTCCGTAGTCACTAAAGGAACAATTTCTCATAGAAATCCTCCTTGTCCTACCGCAGAAGAGAGCGCCCAAGATACCCTTGACATTTGGGATCTGTCTGGACCAGGGGCATTCAGTCTCCTGCTGAAGGGCCAGGGAGAGCAAGACCCCAAAGTGCACTTACCTTGAAGAGTTTCTGAGAGTGTTTGATCATGAAGGTCACTCCATTGTTTAGCTTTGTGATATTCTCCTGAAGGTCATTTGCTGTCACCTGGCAAGGGGACACAGTCAAAGGCGTAGCAGTTAGAAGGGGAGGAGAAAGGGTCTCTGCTGCCCTTGCTGTCTCTGGGACACAGATACACACAGTGCCTCAGCAGGAGACCTGCTCTGAGGGGACAGACAGGCAGAGCTCACAGAGCCAAAGCTGCTCTGAGAGAAGGAGATCTACACAGCTCTGGGGCCAAACAGTTCACCAGCAGCACAAGAAACCCTGCAGAGAGATCTGCAAGGTTTGTCTGGAGCTGTCATTCTTAAAAGAAGCAGGACTGTGCTATGCTTTCAATTTTACTGAAAAAGATGAAGCATCAGTTGCAAGTAAGGCCTACAGTAGGTCTGGACTGAACACTAGGACTGAGTCCTACCTCACCATCCCAGCCTCCAACCCTCATGGCACTGTATCAATACTTAACCCTCCCATCTTGGTTCTTCTCCCGTATGCCTGCCAAGTCTCTGCTTTCTACCTTGCGATATCCCACCCACAAATACTGAGGCCCTGCTCACATTTCTGGGCCACAGGATGTGGGGTGCAAACATGAGGGCAAGATTGTGGGCAGACATCTTGTTCTTGTCCTGCTTTTTGGCGGTCTGGTAGAGCAAGTCCAGCAGCAGTTTGAGCAGACTGCGGTTGGGCGCGGGAAGGATCAAAAACAGCAGCTGCAGGGCTTCGATTTGACGCTCTTTGTCTGGAGTGCTGGTCTTATTCCCCTTCTCATCAAACAGTGTCAAGTCTGCCAAATCACAAGGTAGAATGTGAAGGACATACATTACCTTCCCTAACAGCAGGTCTATTGCAACTAGTTACCCTTCCCTCTTCATATGCAGATCTCCTCCAAACTCCTGCACAGTTCTTGGCCCTTCATCTCTCTCCTCCCCCAGCTCCCAAGCTCCCCATCTGATGTGTTAATCTGTGGTACTCCTCCCACAGGACAACACAGTTGCTAAGAGTTGTGATGGATTGAAGGCAAGAATTTCACATAAGGTAGTTCAACAACAATTACTATGTACATAGAAACCACACCTCACTCAGGAGACCCCCCCAGACTTAAAACAGATGGAGACCCAGGTTATCAATGTGGGCTCTACTCCTGTAGGTATCTGTTTATTGCTGGAGAGAGAAGACAGACTTGGTCTGATTCCTTGGGATTTTCAGCACCAGTCTTTCCACCATTAGGCTGAGATGGCAGGAAGATTCCTTTTTACCCTGCCTTTAAGGATTACACTTCCACAGCCTAGTGTGCAGCTCTGTAGCATTACCAGCTTTCTAGAAGGCTAGTTCCATTCCCTCTGCTCATCACTGCCTCTTGTTGTTCACTCACCTGCAATTTTGAGGTGGGCATGGAAGTGCTTGTGTGTCAGCAGGGGCTCTGGCAATTCACCCAGGAACATCTTAAGCAGGGTGGCCACATCGTTGGAATGAAACTCCCCAGAGTCCAGGTCAATATCAGTACCACTGTTCAGAGCATCCTTTAGGATCTGTTGCCTGATGCTGTTGCCTGGCACCCGAAACAAGCCTTCTGCTCTTAGATCTGCTCAGCAGATGGGAGAAAAAAGGCCATTGATTAATCAGAGGCTGATTCTCATCTTCTTAGTAAAGCAGTTCCCTCCCCTTTCCAGAGCTTGACAGCAAACCTCAGTGAGCTGCATTCAGAGACATGACTTCAAGCTGGCTCCCATCAGTGGAAAGAGTCCATGCACAGAGGGAAAGAGATTAACTTATCTGCTAGGCAATTCTGGGGAACGGTCCAGCCCTGAACTCCTGCTGCTGGAGAGCTCGGAGCTTTTCCTTCTGTCTGCACTAGATGAGGTGGGCCAGACAGATACCCCTTGGGATAGGAAGACAGCAAGACAGAGTCACTTACTTTTGTGCAGGTACTCGATTAGCTGGGAGACCTGTGCGATGCCTTCTTCTGTCAGTGGCGAGCCAAACACCACCCCTTTCTCTGCAGAACAGAAGATAACACGTTCAGACCCCAATAGCCACAGAACTCCAGTCAATAACACAGGCTACAGCCCCAAAAGTAGAAGCAAATGAGCTGAAAGGAAGGAGGTCTTTGCATGGAAGGAAATATTAGATGAGAAGCCCATTTAACTGAAAGGCACTTGTTGAACCAATGCAGAAAATTGTTCTTGTCTAGAGAGGGACTTCCCAGGTAAGAAAGTGGTGATCCAGCAGGACAGTATTTTCTAATAAAGGCAGTCTTGCTGGTGAATGGCTTTTTCCATCAGATATACACAGCCAGCACACTTTGTCCCTCAGAAAGCTGAGGCAAATCCCAGGGGCTTCACTGGCAGCAACCAGAGCCCTGAGCACCACTTCTTCCCTCAGACGCATGTAGGTTTTGATTGCAGCTAGAGACAAAATGCTGGACAGACCATACCACAACATGCTGACTGGGACTGAGAACTGGAACCAGGTACAGAGCTGGTTTGTCCTGCCCTTGCACTTAGGCTTCAAAGAGCCAATGGATTTAAGAAAAGAATATTCCTCTTTTCTCCATGACCAGGCTGCCAGGAGCATGGGCCACTTCTGAGGGCAAGCTAGGCATTTGTACCCCAGCTGTATGTGGCTGAAGATTTCCCTCCTTATTGTTACAGCTGATAGCCCAGCAATCCAAGCAGTGCATTGGCTGGTACAATAACAGTTATCTCCCTCACAAGCTTTCTCTTGCCCTCCTGCCGCCCACCCACCCCCCCCCAGCACATTTTGATTTCACTAGCTTTTGGTCTGTTGTACTACAGATCTTACTGTTCTGTGGTGTTGATGCTCACAGCATGTGGGAAAGACCTGGTTAACCCTGTGCACTTCTCTAGCAGCCTTCCTGTGCAACTAAATTTATTCCGCCTGAGGAATGTTCCACTTTCTTCCAGGACTTCTGAAATACATGGTAAGCCACCAGGAACTCCAGCCTCCTGTTAAATCAAGAACTTTCTGACCTCCCTCTGATAAAGCACATGCTTCAGTCTAGCAGGAGAAAGGAGGGCAATGTGACCTCTTGATCCACACGGAAGAACTGAAAGCCTTGAGTGCAAAGGGAGAGAATGGTTGGCGAAAGATTCTTGTCCTTGAAGAAAACTAAACTCATTAGACATTCAACAGATAGAATCAATAGTGGCCAGAAAAAGAAGAGGAAAATACATCTTCTTGAGGCATGCAGAGCCTGACAAATTCGATTTACTTCTGAAGTCAGAAGTTGATATCTGAATGAGAATTTGATTCTCAAAGAAACTTGAAAGATGCATCTTGAGAATGGATGCCGAGTTACGAAAGCTTAGATGTTATTGTATGATTGCTTCTGAAACTAAGCAGCATGAGATTGAGTTTCCTGATGCTCAAAAAAGTTGTAAGTATTTGCAGTTTGATGAGCTCTGAGCTCTACGGTCCTTGGCCTCTGGCTTTGAAGAAATAAAACCTGTTTGTTCTAGCTGGTCTATAACATGAAGAAAAACAAATGATGGCTCCAAGATGAAACACACAGTACATGAAACTGATTTTCTCTGTAGGCACAAACTTCTTTTTCCTCAGAGTTTGGCCAGGGAGTTCACAGACAGTGCCTGTCAATGCAATGCCATTGCAGCCTGGGAGTGCAGCCAGCAGACTTGGAAACATCTGCTAGCTGTAGTTGTAGTGAGACACATGGCCATGGAGACATCCGAATGGGGGAAGGCAGAGCTCTTGGGGAAAAGAGCTAGAGGGAGATGTCAAGTCTGATAAGAGCAGTGCTCCAGCAGAGTAGATAATTTAAAAAAAAACAAGCTAGAGAAGGCTCACAAGCCCCTGCTAGAAGGTTTTGACAAGAACAGGGAAGCTTCTATGCATGCTAAGAAAACACTTTCAACTTGGTTACTCACTTCTGTTTGTCAAGTGGCAAAGTGTCTGAATTTGAGGTGTCGTGCTACTCTCCAGGAACAGAGGCAGGAGCAATAACAGGTACAAGCACAGTCTAACTGCCGTTTGGGAGCAGTGTGAAGACGTATTACTATGGAATAGCAAGATAAGTCATAGCAATATTTACTAATTCTCACCTAAGGATGCTAAAGGACTTGATTTGCAGTACTTGATTTTTCCCTGCAGTGCTGTCCAGCCCAGGGTGAATGTGTCTACCAGGGTTCCCAGCAGATGAGCCAGGAGTGGAGGGCTGAAGCCAGCACCAAAAAATTCAGCCTGAGCAGTGGGGCTGCAGAGCTTGTCCTTATGAAACACAATGGAAGAAAAGGTTTGGTAGAATCAAAAACACTTGGAGAAACTATATAAAGGTTGAAGACAAAAAAGCCAGCCATACTCGGACATGCTGATAGCTCCCTTCTCAGAGGTACTCACAATAGTGGAATTGCTCAAAGGGAGGGGGAGACTAATTAGAAGTGTTCAACCTCAGGCTACCAACATCTGAAGGCAGCTACCCACAGCTTCTCTGCCAGCAGACAGTGAGTCCAGCTAGAAAACCAGAGCTGACAAGGGATGTGAGAGGTGCCCAGATGGAGGCAGTTCTGTTTAGATGAGTGAGAAGGTTTAACTGAACTTAGCAGGAGAATTAGGCTCCCCTTGAGTGTGGACAGAGGTGGGAGAAGGCACACACATACCTAGAACACCCTTTTAGTTACAACAAAACAGAGTGGTAAATGCCAGGCAGTGGAGAGGATCTGAACACAACTGTGCTCAAAAGCAAACCTCAGACTTCTGAGAAGGGGCCTGGGGCTAATGTTTCATAACCCAGACAGCTCAACTTGAAAGAGAAGATAAGAATAGTCTTACAGTTTATCAGAAGAAAACTCCAGCTGAATGCTTGTCTCAGAAAAAGAGAGACATGTCACCTCCCAGGGTTGAATCTGGGCTTGAGCACAGTCTACAGAGCTCTGTCACTGACTCACTGCATTGGGATGTGGATCAGAGTGGCACTGGCTTTTGGATGGGAGATGCTTACAGATTTCTGAGCTGCACAGACAAGACCTTCCAGAGAGCTGGGACAGTTACTGAAGGAGACAGTGGGCACTGAGTGAAGTCAGTGTCCTGGAAAACCTGGGCATTATTGTTCTTCACAGAACCTGATGCTCTTAGTCTTTACTGATATTCCATCACTTATGAGGAAAGCTAATGAGCTAAGGAAAACTGAGCATGGACTACCATGGACACAAACAAGCAGAGAGACAAGACACGGTGTGTATCAGAGGAACCTGCAGCTTGTTCAGGCACCCCTCTCCAGCTCAGCACTATCCACAGAGCCAGACCAGAAACGCTCAGGAACCAAAGCTCTACCTCTGTGGTTTGTGCTGCACTGAGCACAGTGAGCAGCAGACCCACCAAGGCCGACCTGACACAAACCACAGTAATAATCCCCAGAAGAAGGGTAACTCTGGAAGTGGCAGGACATTTCCAGGATGAACCTCCTGGTCTCTGTTTCGCTCCATTCTAGAGCAATCCCCAGAGATTACAAACCTACAGTAGTAAGCATTCAGCACAAGCTCAAAACAACAGGCCTTCACTGAAAGTTTTGTAAACTATGTGTAACAGACTATGACAGTCAGCACCACCCTAAAGGTGGGAACCAGACCTCCTGCCATACTCACCCTTGCGCTTCAGAGACATCAGAGAACGAAAAAATCCAGAGGCTGTGCTGTTTGCCCCAGGCAGCTTTGGGTCCTCCTCTCCCATAAGCTGGGCCAGCTCTGCCCCAGGCAAGTCAATGAGCCTGGTAATGTTGCTGACAACGAGCTCTGTGAACACCTCTGGTTTTTCATGGCGCAGCTTTTCCACGAAGAAGTCAGGATTGAAGATGATCGGCTGGCTGCGGAGGGAGGAGTCATTGCAAATGACAAAATTGCAGATGGCATCACTGGAAAAAAGGGAAGGAGAAAAAAAAAATGCAGTAACTCCTCATTGCTTTGTTTTTGACAGCCAGCTGGTCTGCCCTGAAGGAGACATCTGCTGACACAGGAGCTACCAGTCTACACCATCAGCACTGTCTGTCTTCGGTGAGTATTCAGCACAGCGCAGTTACATTTCCTTTTGGAGCAAAAACATTTCTGCCCTGTTTGTACAACACAGCCCCAGACTAGCACTCCATAACCTGATGGTAACATACGCAACACATGACAACACCCAGCTAAAACTTTCACTGTATGTACATTCCACTAGCTCAGGCAGCTATGACATCCAATATTTTACATTAATTTACCACTCTCAGTCATAAATAAGTTTGGTTGTCTTCTTTCCTCCCCAGAAATTCACTCCCTGTGGCCTGAAAGTCTAAATCCCAATCTTTTTTTTCATGGCCAGCATATACTCATCAGTTCCCATTGCTGTTTCATCATCACTACCTTCCTATCAACAAATTGAAAGTTCCCATGCCCTGGCACTTTGTTTTTAAGATCATAAGCATGCAACAACACTGACCCACAATTCTGCTAGGGATGTAGTCAAATGCTCCCAAGGTGACAAGCTGCCAACTCTTGGTCACTGCTCTCTGCCAGCTACGGTCACTGCCCAGCTATGCACTCTGAGACTGGGGCGAGTGGGAACTCATCAGTATTACGCAAGATCAGGCCTTGAGGAACCTTTAGTAACCTTCCTCCTAGTACATCTCTTTTTGGCTCATCCAATTATTGCCTCTTCTTCAGGCTGTCCTTTATCTGACCTCCCTATTCTCTGCTGACACCTACTTTCTCCATTTCCCATGCCATGTGAGAAGCTATGAAAAGGGATGCATCTGAGACACTGCTCTGCTAAGGGTTATCACATGCTTAGCCCTACCACAGGTTAGGTAAGCTACATTTGCCATGTCTAAAATCAAAATAAAGAGTTATCAAAGACAGATCTCAGGTTAATCAGCACTCTTAATGCTCACACTTAAAGCTTATCCCAATTTCCATCTACTTCTAGGTCTTCCATTACCATCTTCCCACCACTGTTCCAAATACTCGCACACTTCTGAAGTCAAGCCCACCGGCTAGAGTTGCCTAGCCTGCTTCTCCTGCCCCTCTTTTACTTAAATGTGAGTATTAGCATCATTATTCCCCAGTCACAAGCTACTGCTCAGATGTCATACTCTACTACAAAGTGCTGGCTTGGCATGCCAGTTCTTCCAGGGCTCCGGGTGGAGGCTGCCTACCCACCCTGCTCGCACACACAGTGTGACATTCCCCAATCCTTTAATCATTCTTGGGCTCTTTCCACTGTTTCAACATCCCTCCTCAGCTGTGAGCTCCCACTGAACGCCATTTTCCAACAGTGCACAGGTAATAGAAATGCTGTGGTCATGCACCAGGGATCGCATCAGGCCCTTCGGTGCAGTGTGGCACCCGGGGGGGGGGGAAGCATGTGCTCTGCCGATCACCCCCAAGGCCACCAAAGGCTTTCCCTCCAAAGGCAGCTCTCTCCCACAGAAGACCAGAGCACCCTGCCCTTCCTCTTGTCTCCTGAGGAGTGGAGGCCATGTCACCGCATTCGGTCCATGCTGGGCATCTGTGCTCAGTGCTCAGCATGCCTGCCACCAAAAGGGAGGGTGTTTGCAACGGGCTGGACCTTACGTCCATCAATTCAAGCACCAGAGCACTTCAGCTACTAGTTCAGAGATCTTAGCAACTTATTGTTCTGATGTAAATCGACAGAAGCTAACGAAGCAAAGCACATGCTGGCAAGCCACCTGAACTCCAGCCCACATCCACACAGTGTCTGTGGACCCAACAGTTATCTGAGCTATTGCTGTACATCTTCAACCCGGAAGACCATCTTGGCGTGATTTCCAGGATGCGTGATCAGAATGAGCGAATAAAAGCAGGGACTCGGGCTACACAAGGCGAAAGATATTTGCTGAAATCAGAGGAAAGCAGGCTCTCAGCTACATTTGCATCGTGAGAATCCATACGAAACCCTCTCCCCTTGCCACTGATCTCCATGGATGTCAAGGACTCCTTCAAGAGGATGGAGAGGAAGAAGGTCTGCAAGGCAATCTGCCAGGCCATCTAAAATTTTAGAAAGCTCTTAAAGGCTCCCAGCTGCATCACCCAGAGTGGCCTAGCAAGCAAGCTGCCGACTCCAAATGGGGGCCATATTTTTCTGAGTACCTCCCAGCCTGTTTTTCAGCAGTTTGTTATCTGCAATAAATCAAGACCGAAATGCAACAACTCTGTATCAGCTGCCAAAAAAACAACTGCCAATCGATCTGATCGTATTCGCATTTCATTGCGCGGGGCTACGCTGCACAAAAAAGTGCCAGCTCTGCCCATAATGTGGAGCAAGCCCTTTGCCTGAAACCCATGACAACTCATTCTGTGGCAATACAGATCCTGAGAAGGGTTAATAGCAAGTGTATAGGCCCAGTGACCCTGCCTGCAATGATCCGTGCACTGTTATTCACTCACTAGCAGTTTTGTTTCCCCACAGAGAAGATATGCAAATACTTTGCAGCAGTTACATCAAGCATCACAGATTATCTGCTCCCTCTGACAATTAGGTATCTAGATTCAGAGAAAGAAAATTAAACAATTTTGTCAACTAGAACTGACTGACATGACTTCTCCGCACAGCCAGCATTAGAAGTTGCACAAAGTTTAACAACATTTAATGCAAAAATAAATAGAAAAAAGTAAATTTCTTACATGAGTGCTGAGAGCTTTTGGAGAGGCATTAGGAAGCAGAGACAGGGAAAAGAACTTGCTCCTTGTTTCCAGCAACAAAAGAAACCTGCCTGTCCCAGCACAGCCTATGCAAATTCCACGCATGCTATGAGACACAAGGGCGCATTATTGGGTCTGAAAGGCCCCCTTGGCACACACTGGGCATCAGCCTTCACACAGAGACAAAACAGAAAAGAAAAGCTGGACAAATTGATTCATGTCTCTTGCCAAAGGCTGCGTAGCTGGAGTTTAACGGCAAATAATTCCTACATAGAAACCGGGGGTTTGAATTAGGACCAGCGTGGTATTAAGTGCTCTCCACCTGTATCCAAGAAGAATCCACAAAATAGTCCCAGATCTACCCTGTGTTTACCATGAGTAAAGCCATGCAAACACATTCCCAACAGCATCTGAGCACAACCGACGTTACGGCACTGGCAGGACAATAGCTGAGTCCCTTAACTGCACAACCCCGTCCCCAGAAACCTTGCTAGAAACACTCTCTGCCCCTGCCTTTCACACTTTTAGATCCTTTCAAAGACAAAGCACATAGATCAGCCCCTCCAGAGCTGGAAACAGCACCTGGCCATTGCTCTTTGCTACCGTTACTGTGCCACTGTGTGCCGTTCATCCACTTCACGTCTCCCGTTCCACGTTTCTCTGGATTCCCGTCCAGTTTCCCTGCCTGCCGCAGCTGGGACCAGCCTTGTATACTCTTATTGTGGTATGGCACTTCAATGAGCTACTTAATTTTGAAAGGTCACTTTATTAGCAGCCCTTCCTTGCGCAGAAAATTTGCCTTTGTATCATTATTGCTAATCAAAATGGAAATGTGAAGCAAACCCCTATTTCTGAGCAAAGATAAAGCCCCCACTGGCTTTACACACAATAACCCTGCCAATCCTCACTGCTGCACACGCTATAACCTTCAGAAAAAGCCATGTGCCCCATCTGCTGTTTTCATGTTAAAAAAAGGAAGATGGATGTATTCTACCTACACTCACAGTTTATATAACAGCAACAAAGGGGAAGCAAACATGTATTCAGGGAGTTTATTGCCTTTTTTTTTTTGCTTTGCTTGCAATTACAGAATTATATTTTCTGTATGCTGTGATCTCAGATTGCTTTATGACACATCAAAAGATGATAAAATAAAAGAATAAATAGCTTCCTCTCTGATTGCATGAATAAAATCAAATCCCAATGAATAATAAAACCTTGTACTAATAGGGTTGTGATTAAGACGGCAGATTAAAAAAAATGGGTCCTATATTGTGCTGAGATTCTTGCCATTCTAGTATCTTTTAGAAGCGAAGCCTGTGATCCCAGCCAAGTGACAAAGAAAGCTGTCTGTCACACACAACGTTCTTGCTTCAGGCATGACAGCCCCATCATTTCATGGGGAGTGGATGGTGCAGGAGGTCAAAATCATGATGGATCAATTAATCCCTAAGGTAACTAGATCCAGGCCAGGGAAATGCCTTGGAAACTAGGGCAAAAATGAGACTTTAACTGGCAAAATCTGGTGAGTGAACCTGTGGTGCAAGAGCTGTGCAAGCAGGAGGATTAGCTCACATGGCAGCGAGCCTGCATTCAGATAGGTGAGACCTAACTGGTTTAGTGGCTTTTACAGATTTTATGTTGTTCTAACTCCATCCGTGTGAAGGCAGAAACAGGTTCAAGCAACACGAAATAGATCATAAGGAGAATACAAGTCAGCCAAGAAAGAGAAGGAAGAGGTACCTTTGGGGCAAGGCATTAGCTGTGTTTGTCTAGCTGGGAAAGCGGAAAAGCTGGAAACTGCAGATTTCAGAGGAGCCTGAGTAACTAATCCAGTGGGCAAAATCCATCTCTGGTGCCATTTTGTGCACTTTGTACGTTGTCACTAAAGAGCTAACACTTCAGACACACCACAGTAGATGAGTCTTACTATACAGGAGTGAAAGAATTAAAGAGCTTTGGAAAATAAGGCAGATAATGGAAGAAAATCTCCCTCTATAGTAACAAAAATTTTAGACTGAGAAATAGCCAGGCTACTACCAAATACTGAGAGCAGGGTGATAAGCAGGCAGTGCTAAAGAACACAAAACGTGAGCCATTCTTTGCCTGGCTAAGCACAAAGGGAGACGGGACAGATGCGCACAGGCTCGTATTTCCCCAGGGAGAGAGAAGTAGCATCGTTTCCTATGTTGTGCCAGAGTAAGGAATCAATTAATGAGGATGTCTGAAGACAGTATTTCCAGAGCCAGATAGGAGCCATCCCAGATTTTGCAAACAGATGAAAGAACTGTAGTGGAATTATGTGGAATCATTTTAAGTACAAAAGGACCAGAAGACAAATTATTTCCTAGATTAAAAAAAAAAAAAGATTTAACAGAAGTCTAATGGGAATGGACTGTAGAGACATTAGAAGTGACTTCACATTTAAGGTTGCTTTGAGGATTGTACTTCAGACCAACATTCTTGTACAACAGCGTAACAAAGATCACATTCAGGCCTCAGATTTAGCACAGTAACTCTTCATAGGATGACTGATTTGCCTCTGCAAAATGTCAAGAAAAAACACGCCGTAATTTTTCCCTAGGGTTATACTCATAAGGACTTCAGGGGCAGAGGGCGTCCTTTTGTGGTAAGTACACAGTGGGTGCCGATCCTTGACCAGTGTCTCTAGACTTGATATAAGTAAGCCATACTACATAACACTGCCTTTTAATTTTTGCTTTGCTTTCTTCACATTTAAACAGCTAACATGGAGTGATTCAGCCTTTTGGCTATGGGAACCAGATAATAATATCCAATTTAAACAGCAAGGAGCCGGGGAAGAAAGCCTCTATTATGTGATGGCAGCCTGTGCTGGACAACCTGGAACTACCGTAACAGCGGGCCGTCTTTTGGACATCAGGTAAATTGGATATTCAAGTCACTGCTATATTATAAGAATTCAAATTCTGTCTCAGTAAAGGACTCAAAGCAGACCTCAGCAACATCAGCTACACATCTGTGATATGAACCTGGAGATGGACCTATCTGGGAAGATAAGAGGGTTGGAAGGGGGAGTGGAGGAAAGTGTGCTTTGGAAGAAACACAAAATGCAACATATTACCAGTATCAAAGAAAACTGCAGTAGCAAGACAGCTTGATCTATATGAAACATCAGGAAATTTGCATTTCGGCATGAAATTTCTCAAGTTTGACCTCTGTGAATTCTTTTTTGATATCTTTAATAATAGCCACTGGAATATTTTAAAGTCAAAGCACTTCAATCAGCCACCACCACAACATGGTATGAGTATCCAGATGCCTTCTAGTGCTAGGAGGAGGAAAACAACTAAGAGGTGCCTTAGAGAGGAACCACGTGTTCACTGTGGTGCTCCTCACCGAGTCTCCTTCCCAGCACCGCCACCACAGCTCTGGATCATCCCAGGGTGTGCGATGGCTCAGCCTCCTACCCAAGGCTCTGTAAAAAAATGCAGAAACACAACTACTGCCAGAAACCCAGTAATTTTACATTAAAGATCTGCAAGCTCATATATCTGCCTTAACATCAGAGTAACAGAGTCTAACAGCATTAAATAGCAATGCTGCTCCGATTTTCATGACTTTAAATGCAGTCTAAAGTTTGTGTCTTTATTTTCATATAAACCCCTACTGGGAGCAGCAATAGAAGAGGAGCCTTAGATCCAATCCTGATTTCATGGAAACCAGCACCAAAACTGAATCTTTTTAGATGGCAGCAGCTGCCTCTTCTCATTACTGATCTATTCACTTTTATCACTGTGGCATTGGGAACCTCAGTCACAGCTGGGGACTCCACTGTGCTCCATGCTGTACAAACGCAGAACAAAGGCAATACCCTGTCTTTAGAGGGCTGATAGCTAAATCTGAAATGAATGCTGGAGGGACAGAAAAGAGGAGGAATCCCAAGAGAAGAGGCAGCACTATCAGTCAGCATGACTGATATAACTGAACTCCGCCAGCTTTTCTGTAGACACTATTAAAAAGGAGGGCAAGGAAGGACAGGAAAAATAATCAGGTCACACTGCAGATATTTAGAAGAAATCCAGCTCCTGAGCGAGGGGCAACATGGGACCGAGCACAAAAGAGCTGGTTTGAAAGCTATCAGGCAGGGACGGCTGGGACGCAGGGCACAGACAAGCGCCCAGGAGCTAGAGGAGCCTGGCAGCACCGCAGGGCACTGCACGGCTGCATCCGCAACCCTGCGGCAGGGTGGGAAGGTCGCAGCCTGAGGAAGCCCTGCAGCCACTTCCCACCACCCAGAACGTGCTGGGCAGGCATGCTGCCTCCCTCAGGAAAAGGTCACCAGGGCCGGGGGCTAGTTTGTATAGAAACTGTATTGATGTAGTTTTCCCTGCCCCAGTCATATAGTTATAATCATGACAAAACAATGCATCTTTTTTGCTTTATTTTATGAATTTAAGGCACTTGCTTTGTGAATAACGTACCATTGGGTACCCTGTGGGGCCAGGTGGTATCTGCCTTGAATGCCAAGTCCCATGTCTAAGACAGGGATTTTGAGCCTTTTCTCCCCACGCACTGCAGAATTACCCACCACTACCTTTGACCACAAGTCAAACTAACAAACTGCAAGAACACCTCCTCTTTTCCTGAACCCTAACACCTTTCTATCTAATATTCTTTACCAAACATCTGTCCATGGACTCCCACCAACTGACCCGCTCTTCAGCTTCGTTCATATCCCAGGTAGGAAGTTTCTTCCCACTTGTGTCTGTTTGGTCCTTAGCTGGGTGGACTGCAAGGTCCACACGCATCCGCTGTATCCTCAAAGTGTGAAGGATACTTTCCAATTGCCAACAATGATAGCATTCCCTTATTCTCCTCATTTTAAAATGTATTTAAGTCTCTTACTTCCCCATTTTGAGTGTACTGGAAGTCAGTAAGAGACATGGCCCAGTCCTACCTTTACCTCCGTGGCCTCTAGCACTCCAATTGCTGCATGCATATCTGATTGTCACCCTTACACTTGAAGATA